TGATTTGAATAATTATTACTGAAGCTGTCTGTGGCAAATCTCTACCTCACTTCGGAACAGGGGAGGCAAAGTTTTGTATGTGGGTACATGTCTGCATTTGTCCTTTTGAACAACTACATTCAAGTCATGTATGATGCCACATTTGAGACAGCAGTTATCTCTGTAGTATTTTTTGTTATCTATCCATTGTCCTGTGTGAAGTGCATACACTGAATTGCTCCAGCCAAATAATTATCCTGGCAAAAGCATTTGGTTGGCCAAGAGCCATGGTGTATGCATTAGAGGTAGTGAAGATCAATAACTGATGTCAGTATGAACACATAATGTTTAATTTCACAAAGTTTGGGTTAATATGATGATGTTAATGATATGATAATAAAAAGGGCAAAAACTGGCAAAACTTTGATGAAAAACTGTATTAAAAAGTTGTTAACAAAACTTATGTTTCAAATTACCTCTGAATATTGTCTGTTATAGTTTAAATGACTAACAGTTTCATTTTAAGTTGTCCCAGGAGGTGGCCATTCTACAATTTGATGGTCCCCCTGATAAACAAAATTACTGTTTGGTTTTCCCAAACTTCAAATGGATTTTAATACGTTTTAGTGACTAGGGAGTAAAACACCCAGGAGGACTTCTTGGTGCCTCGAAATCCATGTCACATAACTGCAGTATCCTTGGTTGAAATCTGGAACCTCTGTAGCATGTCACCCCCTCAGCCCTCTTCCTTTTCCCCTGATATTTCAGTTGCAATGCATTGTTATTTTAAAAAGTATTGAATAAGAGTAATATCTTCATAGCCAATCAGAAATACATGTACTGACCTAATCATATCATCTAAGTCATGCTGATACTCTGTGTCTCGCTCAATTTTACTTTCTCTATTATACAGGGTTAACCCCACTCTCTCTCTCTCTCTTGCTCTCTTTCTTACTTCAGTGCCCAGGGGTCTTCAACTCTCCATTCAGGCCAACCCCCCATGAGACAGAGCTGCTGCTGAGGCAGGTCAAGTACCAGGCCCCTACCAGACTGGCCCCCAGGGGCAGGGCTTGTCTCTTGGGCATGCCTGACTCAGCCCCGAGTTTCCCTGGGAGTCTTGGATCCCCATGGATCAAAACCACTAGAACCTGCCGCTCCTCCAAGCCCATATTGCCCCCCATTGTCAGCAAGAAACAGCAGGTGAGATGGTCAAAGCTAGGATCATGTAAGACATAAACAGGTAGAGACAGGTGGGAATGATATAAATGAAAAACTACAGTGACACATAATGTAAGGGGGGAGAATGAGAAAAGACAGGAATAGAGCATGCAAGAGGTGAAAGAGAGTATTAGTTTTACAAAGTGTCATACTAATTATTAGAGCCCCACAACAACCCCGTCTTTCCCCAGGGGGGATAGTTCTTGATGAAAGCAGAGATCCTTTAAAACTCCTTTCAAAGAAGAATGACATCATTAAAACATGGCAGACAGCTCTCTCGGGGGATACAGCACAGAGCCGTTTAATGTCTATATTTCAGTGAGTACAGTCCGTGTGACTGTGTGGCTATGGGTTGCTATCAAATGTTGGTGGACCACAGTGTTTTAGTGAGTCCCATTAGGGCCGAATGACATGACTTCAAATCAATATCACGATTATTTCAAACTTTTACCTCGTTTATGATTAATGAACCATTATTTTGGCACTTATCGGTCTCTCTCTTTTTGAACCATGCACTCTTCATATAGATAGATAGATAGATAGATAGATAGATACTTTATTTATCCCCTAGGGGAATTTCATGTGTCCATTACCTCACTGTTGATAATAATAAAAACAGTTAATAATAAATAAACAATAATAATTAAATTAGTCCACTTCCTTTGGCTGAGTTTTTGTATAGCCTGATGGCAGTGGGAACAAAGGATCTCCTGAACCTCTCTGTTCTGCAGGGCAGTAAGATGAGAGGTTTGCTGCTGTAGTTGCTTCTGTGTCCTGCCAGAATGTTGGGGAGAGGATGGTTGGTATTGTCCAAGATAGCCTCCATCTTACATTGCATGCATCTCTCCACAACAGTACTGAGTGAGTCCAGACTCCTGCCAAGCACAGACCCAGCCTTTTTGACCAGCTTGTCCAGTCTCCTTGTGTTCATGTCTGACATGTTGCTGCCCCAGCAGACTGCAGCATAAAAAAGTACACCGGCCACCACTGACTGATAAAACATGTGCATCATTTCACTGCAAACATCAGAGGACCTGAGCCTCCTATTTGGCAATGTGATTGTGTTCCAAGTGATTTAACAAGTTGGTGGTGTTACCTTTGGTCACTATCCATGTTGCATTCACTACTGGTAGTCATGACTGATCAGACCCAATCAGGAAGCCACATAGGTGTCTGCGCCATTGTTTCCAAAATCTTAGTTTCTGCCCATCCAGACTACAACCCAACCCTGTAGATTTCAAACTAAAATGGGACCAGCAGCATTTCCAAAAGTCTCAGTTTTAGGGGCTCAAAAACTCATAAAAGTAGCAAAAGTGATGCATTTTAAAATTAAAACTTTATTTAAATTAAATATTAGTGTGGATGTAGCCTAGGGTGACTGAACACAAGGTATTACTTTTTTAAAGGGACAGTTCATGAACGCATACATTGGGGAAAGTGTTAACTAAATTAACCGACTTGAACATGATTAAGTTGGTGAGATGATTTAAATGTCTGTGTTCATACTTTTTTGGTTAATTGCCCAGTCCTAGGTCCCATGCACAGCTCTTGTTTGTGTTCCTCATCAATTCAATGTGACTTATCCAACCAGTATGATCTGTGCTGTGACAGGCACACGAGGATTTATTTGTAAATTCACTGGAATTCTGAAAGTTGATTGTATTGGATAATTCATTTTTGTTTGCATTGGACCACTGGAAGAGAATAGCCAATGTATAATATACATCAGAGAGATAGATGGAAGAAAAAGTGAAAGCTATGTTATTTTGTAACCTTTTGTAAGGGCCTCCATGTTACTATATTAAAGCTACGGTACATTAAGCAACTTTTAACAGAAAAAAGCAACATGGGAATCCCACTGAAGTATTCTTTCTTGCTACCTGTTGGATGTTAGTCCAATATTAACTCACCTTTTTGGCTGGACCGCAACAGTGGGGCCAGCCCTGTAAATGCGAATGTCTATGACTGACTGACTAACTGACTGACTGATTGATGAGTTGAGTTGTGTGATCAAGTTGCACCATTGGTCGTCTGGCTGAGTGTTGGAGTTTATCGATTAGCCGATGCACTTTCAAAATGTATTGGCACAAACAGTTTCTATTGGGGGGCATATATAGCCGGCAGTGTTGCCAGTGTAGTGCATTTGTTGCTATATTTAGAGTCATTTCCTTAGCGACAAATCGAGCAACTTTTTGGACAAACCGTAGCTACGTAGACAGTCACCAGTACTAGCCCATGAGTGAGAATCACAGCAAAGCTGTTGTCTTTAACTTGTGTGAATGGTGATTTTGTCTGATGGCGTTGTCATTATAAAATCAGGATCTTAGCAGGGCAGAGCAGTAGCTGAAAATGGCTAGCAGTCAGTTGTGTGACTGCTAGTTAACATGTAATTTTAATGGGCCATGTAACACTCACTATTTCATACTTGTTCCATTGTCTGACAAAAGAAACAGAAAAACATGTAAGTGAGAACAGCTTTATTGGGAATTCGGATATGTTAAAACACTGTCTATGTGAGCACAGAGAGTTGGAGAGAAGCAAACAGGTAAAGGACTGAAACCAGCTGACACCAGGCAGAATACAAATATAATGCAATGTTGTCATTTGTTTACGACGGTTCTACAACGGTTTTTAACTACGTCCTCAATTACATTGACCATGCGCAGTCCAGTCATATACTAGGTTTTGAGCTAGTCTTGTTTTAAAACAGTGAGTGGTTGGAAAGTGCTGTTGAGATTTAACAAAATGAATGTAAAAACCAAAGCAGTGAACTGGATGGGTCTGAAAGACAGATAAAGCTGAAGAGTGAATAGGCCTTTTTAATGGAGAACATTTTGACCTGTCACTGTGAAAAAAGGGTGTAAATAATGAAATTAATGATGACTGAATTCAGTTTAGCTGCTTCAGTTTCAGGGTCCTGCTGGCTCACTGTCACACTGTCATAGCTCATTGGGACTCTTGAATAGAACCAAGCAATCGTTAATATTATTTGTAACATCTGTGTTTTTCCAACAATAACCAGCCAAGATGTCTGCTGTGAAAAACACCTGTTAATTCAGTCTTTATATCAAATCTGCTTTATTTTTAATGGAGCTGTAAAGCAGTGCAGCAGTTGAAATGGAGCTGATTGAAGAGTTCTTTCAGTTGCTGTCAACTGAGTATTCATCTACGTACAATCTATCATAGTCCAGGCATGTGTCTGTGGCTATGTGTTGAATTTGAATACTTTTAATTTCTTTATTGTCATTGTACCTGGTATATGCAACGAAATTCAGGTGCAATACCTGAGTGGAACTCTTAGAATTATAAAGAATACATAAAAGTACAAGAATAAGTAAAAAGGAATAAGAATTATTTAAAAAAATTAAACTATACATACAACTTATATACAAGACTCCTACACACACACACACACACACACACACCATGGATACACACACATGCTTACGTATGCGTATATTAGATACATTAGATATAATAGATATTGCACATCGGTATTGCACAGGATATGTATTGCACAGAGGTTGTTATTGCACAGGATAAGTGTTGTTTATGGGGGGGTGGTTTTTCCACACAAGGTTTAGTGTGGTAATGGCCTTGGGGTAGAAACTGTTCATTAATCTTGTGGTGAGGGGTTTGATGGACCTGTAGCACTTTCCTGAGGGTAGAAGGGTAAACAAATGATGGGCAGTTTGAGATGGATCTTTTAAAATGCAGGATGTTTTCCGCAGGCAACAGGAGCTGTAGATGTTTTCCAACGCTGGTAGATGTCTGTCGGTGATCTTCTGGGCTGTGTTGATGACTCTCTGCAAAGCCTTCTTTTCAGCCTTGGAAATGTTGCCATACCACACAAGCATCCCATGTGTCAGGACACACTCAATGGAGCAGCAGTGGGAGGACTCAGCCGTTGTGGCATGTTAACTTTCTTAAGTGTCCTTAGAAAGTAAATTTGCTAGTTTGCCTTTCTGTGGGTGCCTAGGAACCTGAAACTGGAGACTCTTGTCTGTGTACTCTTTCTCTGTCTATGCACAGTGGGGGATGGTCATCTTTTTTGTCTCCTGAAGTCAATGACAAGCTCCTTTGTATTTTTGGTGTAGAGTACCAAGTTGTTTTCTGAGCACCGGCTTGTTAGCTTCTGTTCCTCCTCCCTGACTGTTCGCCTTCAGTGATCCACCATTGTTGTGTTGTCTGCAAATTTAAGTATTGTGTTTGTGATTTTGTATGCTGTCATAGGTGTATGAAGAGTAGAGGAGGGGGCTCAGCACACAGCCTTGTGGAGCTCTTGTGTTTAGTAACAAGGTGGAGGACTGGCGGGGACCCATCCTGACTGATATGTTGTGTTCAAGCTGGATGTTTTGTTCAAAGCCTGGGTCACACAGCTTGGAGACCAGTCTGCTGGGTAGGATGGTGTTGAATGCAGAACTGTAATCCACAAACAACAGCCATGCATGTGCTACCCATTGTTCTAGGTGTTGCAATACAGTGTGGAGGGCAATGTCAATGGCATCATCTGATGATCTGTTGCTCTGTATGCATATTGATGTGAATCCAGGGTGGGTGGGAGAGCCGTCTTGATGTGCTTAAGGAGCAGTCTTGGCAGGCACTTCATGATTATTGGTGTTAAAGCAACTGGCCTGTAGTCACTGAGGCAGGTTATGACTGTCTGCTTCGGGACTTGCACTGTTGTAGAAGACTTTAGGCATGTAGGAACAATGCACTGTGCCAGGGATGAATTGAAAAGTTTTGGGAAGACTCCAGCTAACTCAGCAGCACAGTCTCTGAACTCCAGAGTAGCTGCTTTCAGTGTGTTGGTATTACAAAGTATGTGTGTGACCTGTTCTGCAGTCTGTATGATAAGTGTCTGTCTTTTGTAAGCTGGAGCTGGAACAGTGGGCCATATACTTTGCCATGCACAACGGGGATCTGAGGTGTCAAACTGGCTCTAAGTCTTTAGCTTGTAGGCTGCTTTGGCATCTCTGATGCACCTTTCATGTCACACCTGGCTGCATTGTACAGCTCTATGTTGTCAGACTGGAAAGCCATTTTGCCAGCTTTAGCATCAGTTGGACATCTTTGGTCCATGGTTTGTTGTTGGAAAAAATACTGATGCATTTTGTAGTGCTGACACAATCTACACAGCTTTCTATGTAAAACAAAATATTGGAAGTGTAGGTCTTAGTGTCTTCATCTGCAAAGAGGTCCCAATGCACTTAAAACAGTACTGTAGCTGCTCAGAAACTCCCTCAGGCCATACTTGTATATCCCTGGCAGGGGGTTTGACCATGTGGATAAGAGGTTTGTATACTGGACTTCAAAACAGGGATAGGTTGTCCTCCTCTCGAATTGTTGGGTTGAGCCACGTTTCTGTAATAACACAGCAGTCCTGTATGTTCTTCTCTATAGATATGATAAGTTCCAGCTCTTCCATTTTGTTGGCCAGTGATTTTGCATTTGTGATGAAAACACTTGGCAGTTTGTGGAGGTTTTTGCGAGTGTTTCCTTAACCCAGAATGTATTCTTCTTGGCAACCCTGCTTTTGCTTCCTTCGCTGCCTTAGTTGCTTTCAGGGTGGGAAGTTAATCCACAGAGATCCCGGCGATCTGACAAGCTCTGTCGGGATGTTGTAGTAGTTTAAATTATCAGTGTTAAAAACCACAACCACTGCACACCGAACTTATGTTTAATAGTTCATGTCGAGTGTATGATATGTGAACTGATACATACATAGCACTCAATAATAAATAAACTAAAAGAATACTAATGAAAAAGCGCCAGGAGTGCTGACTCGCTGGACATACGTGCGCCGCCATGTTGCATAGCACATGTGTCAATGTAGGTCTGTGATTTTGTGCATGCATATGTGTGTGTATGTTAATGATTTGATGAGGAGCCATTTCAGCATTTGTGTTATTTACGCTCTGTAGCTCTTTATGGCAAAGTGCTTTCCCTATTATTAGTTTCTAGTAATGTAAAACATAAGTGAGCAGAAATGAGGCGTGGATTTGTCTCATTTTATTAGCTGTACTTCACACACATGCACACAGACAGCTGGCTGTAGTTAGGGTGAGTTCATTAATGGTGTCAGGAAAGTCTCCTTGTCCTGACATGGAGAAGAATACATTATTTATCTATATTTATACATGTCTGTCTCTCTCTGTCTCTGCCTCCCTGTGTTTCTTTGTTGTGTATGTGTGATTAGTGTAGGAAGCCCCCCGCCTCTTTCCCTGGTGTGATAACTATCTAGTGGTGATGGATAAGGTTGAGGTGCTGGCTGTGGAAATGGTCAGGCCAGGCCACCGATCCCATGGCGATAGGAGCAAGGACAGGGTCCCTGTCCTTCCCTCTATCTCTCCCCCCTCATCCTCCCTCCTTTTTTAACACCAAACAACAACTGAAGGTCACCTCAAACAAGGCAACAACATTTAAGTTAATCTGCACTACACAAAGTTTATACATCATTCTCAGAAAAGAGCGTACATACAACCACAAGTTAGAGTAATGCATGTTTAGATGAAGCAGTTTCTTGTTCTTCTCCAGACACCTAAAAGTTTCAATATGCATTTGGTATTAACTGAAAAATGTCTTGCATGTTGGATTATTAGCATTTCACACAACTAGTGGATAGTGAAAACAGCATTCCTGCTATTTGTCCAAAACTAGAAAGTATAAACATAATTTAGCATTGAGCTGGAAAATGTTTGCCTTTACTTTTAAAAGGCAGTAACCATTTTATTGAAAATGTTTCAACATGTATCCAATGTCTTTCATGCAATTGTGTGACAATCACGATGAAGTCTTCAGGGGACGCAGGGGGGAGTAAAGTTAGGTATGGAATGGTACAAAAACTTCTTCCTAAAAACGACTTGTCTTTGTCTTTGCAACTTTGATGTATCAGTAGACATCAGAAACATATCACTCCAGGGAAGGAGCCACAATGTCAAGTAGATGTACAAGGAATAAAATGACAGACAGCTTTTTCAAGTTTAACTGACTTTTTTGAGATTGCTCCCAAAAATATACATGGAAGTTGCACATCAGTGGGAAGTTAGAGAGGAAACAGGCTGTACATTTCATGCAAATACAATTCAAGCACTCAAAGGAAGAATTACTGATAATGATGATGGTCTTTTATCTTTGTATTTTTACTATTAACAAATCACCTGAAATTAATATTAAATCTCTTAGAGTCTATTATAACTTATGCATTCCTTTTATAGCACTTCATTGTTGTCAGAAATTGTTAAAACACATAAAAAGATAGTCGTCTTGCTTGTAATCTTTGGAGCATTAAGTGAAATACTTGAAAATGATTTTCTTTTTCTTATTCTCATTTTATACTAATAAAATTTTTCTTTGTTCCAAATTACTGGTTTCACACAGTGATCACAAAGTTAGATGGCAGGCACAGTGAAATTTTCTTCTATTTTTAAAGTGCCTTTTCCAAGAGATCAATACTGTGATGATGTTGCTTTGGCACATGAGACAAATCCAAAGAAATGATAAATAAAACGAAACCATAAAAAGGGGGAACAGGGGAGAATAACGCCTGATTAAGCCACTTGTCTTTGAGGCTAATCAGACAAGGTAATAGATTAGCAGCTATTTTATCCATCTCTCTCTCTCTTTCTTCCTCCTCTTCCCTCTCTTCATCCCTCCCCTTTACTCTGACTTGTTTGGTTTTATTTTTCAGATGTAATTTTCTTCACTCTGATTTTCTCTCTGTTTCTCTGCTTCTCTCTTGGCCTCTGTGTCACAGGAGGAGAGATGAAATGGATTGGCCTCTGGTTTTAGCACTAAGACATAACTACCTGTGAGAGAGGAAACAGAGAAAAAAAAGACAGAGAAAGAGGTGGGGTCTGAAACAGAAGGATACAGTGATCATTACCTGATTCTCCTGTCTGTCTCTGTGTGTGTTGTGGTGGTTGTGTTTATTCCAGGGTCTGTTCAGAGAGCCAGGCGAAGTGTGGGAGCAGCGTGTACGTTGTCCTGACCTGACATTGCATCTGCAGAACTCTTACACACACCTGGAGGAGACCCAGAATCAGCTACAACAGCACAAGTAAGTAAAACTCAACAGTGGACATGTACACACACAAATAGACACACAAAAAATACCCACACAGAAAATTAGACTATAAAAGCATTCTCATATACACCCACACATACATGAACATAAACTATAAGTGTTTCATAAAAGCTTTTCTGTAATTATTAGATTTTTTTTCTTTCATATATAGCAAGGCATGCAGTGACATGCTTGTGAACACATACACAAGTGAGTACATGTATATTGTATGAACTCAACACAGTCACTGGCAAATTCATGCAACATTAAGTAGCTAATGGACATATCCTTATTATGAAAACTAATGAGTGTATGCCATTGGATTGTTTTAAGACCACTTCATACTGTGTTTTATTTTTCTTAATAAACAGTGCCACAGTATCTCCCTGCTTTATTCAAGGCTTGTATCAGTTTTAATTAATGATTGTGCATGTGTAGGGTGTGTTTATCTTCACTAAAACACTATAATCTCATTACCATTCAGGATAATCTACTCAGTCATGTGTGTGTGTGAGGTACTGTTATTAACTGTTACTAACCCTCTGTTTGATCTGTCTCACACAATAATTTCCCTGATTACAGTGCAAAAGACCACCCAGTTTTCTTGCCACTCTAGCCTTTTTCAGTCCTTTGTCCCACTAAAATCAAATGACTAAATAGACATTTTATAAAGAACCTTGCACATCTGTCTTTTAACCCTGTGTCTTGTCAGTGTCTTTTGTGTTGTTTTTGTGTTTGCTGCATTTTCTGCATTCTTGATTCATGCTCAATCCAATGACTATTTGGTATTTTAATAAACAGTTAGCCTGAGCTGCACTTCAACCTTTATGACATTCAACTTTTTTTTGTTGTGTCTTGCCATTTGCCAACCAGAGGAACAGGAAGTGTGTTCCACCATGTGAGCCACAGCAGCAATTCCTTTACACAGCTAGCCTAGGTCAAGAGCTTCAGACAGTAGATTCCACACTGACTCCAAAGGAGGTAGGTTGAAAACTACAAACACAAACATCATTCTTGTTATTATTATTATTATTATTATTATTATTATACATTTAATTATCGGGTATATGTATATGTACCTAAGTGAAGTCATCATTAGTAATCACACTCCCAACTAGCCATCACGCTGTGCAGAGATGCATAGCTGATGAACGCTTCCTTTCCTGCCTGGCCTCCACACACACAATCCATCAAGGTGAAAAAACATAGATGTAAACCTGCATAAGACCCATTTATACCTGAGTGCTGTCACATATGGTTGACATTGTTAACCAAAGACCTAGTGAAGAAAACATATTATAGGTAAAACACACAATTACACAGGACCATATACAGACTGGTTTCTGCATAACGAAGCTATTGTATATCACTTCATTTAAATGAGTTACTGCAATATTTTTACTGGGAATTCCATGTGACTGCATGGAAAAAGAGTTTTTTTTCTTTACTGGTCACCTCATGTTACAGTAACAACCCAAACTATACCTAAACCCTAAACTAAGAGTCAAAAGTCTTTGAGACTGAGAAGCAAAATTAATGGTTGAAAGGGAAAGAACTTCTGTCTAGTAACTACTTTATTGTGTAATTTATTATGATCATACTGTTAAATTGTAGATATCGTTCTCACCGTTTCACTGTTTCAATGTCAGACCTACATTAAACCCAGGAGCTTGGTCATGAGGCCACCTCAGACATCACCTTTCAACCAAAGGCAGACTGATGGCAGTCAAGGGTTTATCCTGGGGTAGCCTGGGTTTCGGTCTGAAAGGTATAATTCTCCTCTAAAAGAAAAGAGGAAATGGAGAAGCAGTGCAGCCTAACCCTTTCAACTTGAGTTGCACAAATTTGTCAAAAGTGACAGCAATTTAATAAATCGCCGCTCTCCATCACACGCATATGCACACCCACCTACACACATACACACAATTCCCAGTTATGCCCTCCACTGCCCCCTCTCCATGTATACGTAAATGAGGTATATGCATGGGTGTGTGTGTGAGCGTATGTAAGAGAGAGAATGTGTGTGCGTGGGCCCTGCAGTCTGGTCCAGGCATTAGGTAATTGACTGTGTCTTTGCTCAAGGCCTTTCATGGATCACCGTCCTTTATTAGCTCACTTCCCAGCACACACATACACACATATATGCGCACGCACACACACACGAAGTTCCCAGCAGCTCCACCCCAACCTCTTACCCCCCCACCACCAGCACCCAGACCCAATTGCCCGGAAACGAGGAGTGAAACAAGAGAGAGAGAGGAGCAAGGGAAGGAGGAGAGAGCAGCGACAGGGGAATGAACTAACACGGCCCCAGGAACTGGAGATAAATAAGTATGGGGAGTGAGTGGGCGGGTGAATGGGGTCTCCTGCAGCTGACAACAGGGGTTGGGGGAGTAGGATCAGTTTTGCTCGATGCATCTATGCTGTATTTGTTTAACACAGTATTGATGGAATGCTTGTAATGTCTTTGTGTTTGACCATGTGTGGTAAATTCAAATTTTCACTTATGCCACTGAAATTGAAGCCAGCAGGGATAATTTGGCTCTCCATTAAAATTAGAAATCACTTTTTAATTTTGCATGTAGAGTGAGTGAGAGTGTCCTGTAAAAAAATCAGCCCATAGGTCGTCTGTGCAAGCAGCTCATTACAACCCAAAGTTTTATTGTTTTTGTCTATTGATGAAAGTAGGGAAGAACTTATCTTTCCTGAAACCTAATCAAGTAATTTTTGCGTCTGAACCTAACCACATTGTGACAATCCATAAATTTAACTGCATGTTTATATTGTAATGATGATGATGAAAGCCTGGTATGCTGCCGACAATACACTCTGTGTATTTATTATTGTATCTATGACAACAAAGGTCCAGTCTGGTCTGGTCCAGACTTTTAGGACTTGTTGGGTGAGACTACATTTCAACTTACGTTCAGACATTTGCATTGTATTGCAGGCCGCAAGTCAAAGCATCAGCCATCAGTGAACCCTGTTTTTAACTAAACAAATAAGCAGACAAAACATATACTTCGCAGTATGTCATTGCTGGAAAGTATGATGATGTACTTTATAAGATAATCTGACTTTTTCTACCGGTGGAGATTTTGAAATACTGTTTTATGTCATCACATCATCCCCTCACCCTTGTGGTGTGCATATGCTTGTTGGTAGAGCATCAGATACAAACAATACTGGAATCCGCTTCTCAAAATATTCTTCTGCATCACCTCATCGCAAATGAATGTACGGACAACGCCACCATGCCTCACTCCCCTATGCTGGCTTAATGTGACCTTTCTTTTCTCTATGGTAACTCGGCTGCTGTGTAGGAAGTTATTGAAGAAGATAATAAAGATAGTGGTGCCTGCTCTCAGCTCAGTCATGTCATGCTGCTGTCACTCAGAGCTCATCAGACTTCAGATTTCCCCCCTCTCGTCTCTGTTAGTTTCACCATCTTTCTGTAGCCCTCTCTACCTCTATTTACTCTCTCTCTTCTCTCGCTGTGGTAATTAGTGCATTAGTCCTATCGTTGGCATCACCCCCAGCTACAGCAGCAGCCAGCAGAGCTTCTTGTCACAGCTCACAGGGCCAATGGAGTGGACAGCTCAACCCTGGTACTCATCATCTTCATACCGTGCCCAGCCAGCCTCCCCCCAGCCACATTATCTAGCTATGTTATCCAGCCATGCTCCTAATTATTTTCAAGCCCAGCCACAGCCCTCTCACCCAGCCTCTGCCACATTACCTAGCCCTGCTTGTAATCATCACCGTAAGCGTGCTTCAGCCCTCTACACAGCCCGAAGCCTCATCATTAACATAGCCCAGTTTTTTTGTAGTTGTAGACCATAGCTCTCTGGCTTGACCATCACAGCTCTTGGCAGTATGTACACAGCATCCCCAGTCCAAACCAAGCCCTAGAAATAAACCATGACTCCTGGACCTTTATTTACCTTAGCCATCTGTGTCACAGTAAGAAAGGCTATCAATTCAAATGTGGCCCAGCCTGACAGGACACACACATATCCACACATAATCACATGACATTCCCCATCTCTCCAGAAACCCAGTTGCGCCAGCCTAGGCCATGAGAGGCTGTGTAATTATTGCCCTTTCTCTAGCTCAAATGTGGCCTTGCCTTGGCTTCCCAGGTTCCCCACAAAAGATCAGCTTCATAGACCTCAGACCTCCTCTGCAGCTCTCTCCTTTAGTCATTCACATTCATCATCACCAGTTTGAAAATTAAAATCTCTCGTCAAGAATTTTACCTCTCAAATTTACTGTTTTTGTCATACCAACAAAGTGATGCTAGTTAAGCTTACGCATGTGGTTGACCTAAATGGGTGAACATGTGTCATCAAAGCTGGCTTTGCAATCATCCTCTGGACCAGGGTGTAATGTGGGTGTCACTCTACACAGCTCTTGTTAGCGGGTGTTTCTATCTGGGATGAGAAATCAATTTAAAGTTATGACAGTTAACTGACATGTAACTGACTAGTTTAAAAAAAGTGAAATTTAGGGAGCGATAGAGAGAAATTATGAGGGAGTGGGTGAGGAAGAGAGAGTGAATATGTATAAGAGAGAAAATTATCTTCATTCAGTCTTGAATTGATATAATTGACTGTTAATCTGTGTAATTCTATGGTTCAACAATAATGGTTATGCATATGGATCTTCTGTTGTAGAATGGATACCACTGACAACCAGAGATTAACCTTATGACAGCAATCTCATATATAGGTCAAAAATGTTGAAACAAAGTGAACATGTTCAATTCCTTATAAACACAGACTTTGTTTTTTATGTTTTAGGATCAATTAACCATTGTAACAGGAAACACTGGAACAACTGTGTTCTCAAGGTCAAACTAATCATGTGTGCTTTATGCCACTTTATACAATATCATTTTGTTATTGTCTTAAATCGTACTGAATGGCTAAAATGACAGTGTTATATTAAGGTAATCAAACTTCTCACTGAACAATAGCCAGAATATGAAATACTATATGAATTGTTTGTTTTTAGGAAAGGCTATGAAATGGTTTTGTGAGCGAACAGTGTGTGAACCTCTTGAAGTTGGAAAGTTTAATTAATGCAGCCAAACTGTAATGTTCATTGTAAGAGAAAATACTCAAAGGTTTTTAGCTTCTGCACCAGCTAAATGCACCAGCAATGACAAATTTCAAATGCAGATATGGGAAAGCCCTCTCTGTCCATGCTAATTTTGTGGTTGTGTTATTAGCCATGTCACCAGCGGTACTGCCTGTAACCAAAGAGGATAGCTAATTAGGAGGCTACGTGCTAATCAAGTACACTACAGTGAGTGGTCACGTCTGTGTCTGTCTATGCTCCAAGCCTTTCCTTCCCCTCGTATTAGACTGACACCCATCACAACTTTCAAAAGCTAGCATCTGAGCAGAACTAACGCACATGAATACACACCAAAACGCACGTTTGCACAGGCATCCCTGTTCTCCTGAACACATGCACATAGACATACAATCACACGCATACACATTAATTCATGCATATAACACAAACCACCACGATGGCCCACCCACATAGACTCTTTAATGTTACCCCAGTATTGTCCTTGTTACCTCCTCTCGCCACAACACACACTCAAACACACACCCCTTCTCACACCACAGTCTCCTCCCAGCTACTCTGGTGTGGCTTTATGATTGTCATTATTGTGTTGTGGGTACAAAGCTTCAGGCAACAGGGACAGGAAAAGTGTGTCTACACACATACACACATACTGGCTCACTCTTAATGGCCTCAGCCGTAATGTATCACCGTGATGCATACAACTGATGTATTAGGGATCTTTTTAATGGGAACAGTGTTCATTAGCAATTAATACCTAAACTGAAATAGGCCACAAGTAGAGACAATGGAATTAGGTGGGGCAGGGGCAGCAAATGTGTGAACCCGTATGTCTCCACCTTTTATGTGTGTGTCTGTGTATGTATTTCATATGTTATCAT